CTGGGTGTGCCCTCCTCTCATTCCTTCCTCACTCCAATCCAGCTCACCACCTCATCGTCCCTCCCGAGACCCTGCAGAGGCATGGACAGACACCTATCCTCATGGAGGGACCCTCCTTACCCACAGCCTGTGGCCCCGCCCAGACCCTCTGCCTCTGTCACTAATGTTCACTGGACATCCCGATGGCACTGGCCTTCTCGCCTCCCCAGGCAGCACCACACCCAGGGATCCTGTGCACATCAGCCAAAGAAATCCCGCCTGAACCCCAGTTCTTTCCTGTTTCTAACCCCTGCATTCGGACTGTTGACGTTTGGTTTCAGATGTTGACATTCACACCCGGGGGTTGGCCTGGAATCCCCTTTCCCAGGACGCCTGTGCCAGGTGGTGTCAGAAGCTCCTGACTCTGCAGAGGCGGGGTCCCTCCCAGCTGGTCTCTGGGGGGCCAAGCAGGAGACCCGCACTGACCCTGACCATTGGGTAGAAATGAGAGGAAACCTCCTGGGCCTGAGGTTGGCTTGTGGAAATCGTTTTATGTTTCTTGTTGGTTCTGTTTGTTTTGTTTTGTGTGTTTTTTAATCTTCATCTGCGGATATTTTTTCATTGGTTTTTAGAGAGAGTGGAAGAGAGGGAAAGACAGAGAGAAACATCGATGTGAGAGAAACACATTGATTGGCTGCCTCCTGCAGGAGCCCCGACCACAGCCCAGGCCGGGAGGAGCCTGCAACCCAGGTACATGCCCGTGACCTGGATAGAAGCTGGGACCCTCGGTCCACAAGCCGACGCTCTACCCACTGAGCCCAACAGGCCAGGGCTCTTGTTGTTTCTTATGTTTCCTTTACACGTTGTAAAGTACCCCGTCCTAAGTGTAAAGCTTATGGTTCCTTACAGATGTGAGCACATCTGGCCTCCTGTGAAGGATATAGGAACAAGCCTGACTTCCTGGGATGAGGATGCCCTCAGCTACCCCAGGTGTGTCCACGCACAGCGACTGCGCCGATTGCTCAATGTCCTCGTGGCCACGCCTGAAGGGAGAGGAGGAGCCAGAGCTGGTGAGCCCACCAGGCCCTCGGGTTAGACTGTAAGTGGGGGCTGGGCAGGAGCGGAGAAGTGCCCAGAAGCACCTGGGCCCCGACAGTGACAATGTCAATCAGGGGGTTGGGGCGCCGCCACTGTCACACTCAGGGCAGGGCCGATGGGGAGGTTATGGCTCTACCCCATCACACACTGAGCAGGGCCTGTGGGGATGGGGGCGGGGGGGGGTTGGGGCGCTGCACCCGGTCACACACAGAGCAGGGCTGATCAGGGGGTTGGGGAGCTCCCCCCATCAGGCACAGAGCAGGGCTGATCAGGGGGTTGGGGCGCCTTCCCCGTCACAAACAGGGGAAGGTGCCCAGACCGCCACCCACGGCTGCCCTGGCTGAGGGTGGTTCTGCGTTTGTGTTTCATGGAAAGTTTTAAAAATACACTAGAAGGAGGTAAATGCTGCTTAATATATGTCCTTCAGCATGAACTATAAGGCAGCTCTCAACCTAACCCTAGCCCTGGCCAGGTGATCAGGTGGTTGAAGCCTTGTCCCATACACCAAAGGGTTGTGTGTTCGATTCTCAGACAGGGCTCATACCTGGGTTGTGGGTTTGATTCCCAGTCCAGACGCCTACCAGAAGCAGCCAATTGATGTTTCTCTCTCACATCAATATATATATACTAGAGGCCCGGTGCACAAAAATTTGTGCACTCAGGGGGAAGAGGGGGTCCCTCAGCCCAGCCTGTGCCCTTTCGCAGTCTGGGACCCCTTGGGAGATAACGACCTGCTGGCTTAGGCCTGCTCCCGGGTGGCAGAGGGCAGGCCCAATCCCTAGGTGCAGCCCCTGGTCGGGCTCAGAGCAGGGCCAATTGGGGAGTTGGGGCGCCGCCACTGTCATGCACAGAGCAGGGAGGATCGGGAGGTTGCGATGCCACCCTCAGTCACACTCAGGGTAGGGCCAATTGGGGGGTTGGGGCACTGCCCCCTGTCACACTCAAGGCAGGGTCGATGGGGAGGTTGCGGCGCCACCCCCTGTCACGCACAGAGCAGGGCCAATCAAGGGGCTGGGGCGCTGCCCCCTGTCATGCACAGAGCAGGGCCCATCAGGGGGGTTGTGGCTCCGTACCCTGTCACGCACAGAGCAGGGTCGATCAGGGGTTTGGGGAGCTCCCCCTGTCACACACAGAGCAGGACAGATCAGGGGGGTGGGGTGCTGCACCCTTTCACACTCAGGGCAGGGCTGATGGAGAGGTTATGGCTCTACCCTGTCACACACAGAGCAGGGCCCGTGGTGGGCAGTTGGGTCGTCGCCCTCTATCACTCACAGAGCAGGCCTGATCATGGGGTTTGGGCGCTGCCACTGTCACACTCAGGGCAGGGCCGATGGGGAGGTTATGGCTCTACCCCGTCACACACAGAGCAGGGCCCGGGGGGGGGGGGGGGATATTGGGGCACCGCACCCTGTCACACACAGAGCCGCAGGGCGATCAGGGGGTTTGGGCGCTGCCCCCTGTCACGCTGATCCCAGTGCCGGAAGGCCTCAGGGCTCCACTGATCCTGGTGCTGGGAGGCATATTACCCTTTTACTATATAGGGTAGAGGCCTGGTGCATGGGTGGGGGCCAGCTGGTTTGCCCTGAAGGGTGTCCTGGATCAGGGTGGGGGTCCCCACTGGGGTGCTTGGCCAGCCTGGGTGAGGGGATGATGGCTGCTTGCAGCTCGTCACACACCCTTCAGGGTGGGGGTCCCCACTGGGGTGCCTGGCCAGTCTGGGTGAGGGGCTGAGGGCTGTTTTCAGGCTGGCGGGTGACTGAAGCTCCCAACCACTCCTTTTTTTCTTTCTTTTTTTTATTCTGGGCCAGCTTTAGCTCTGAGGCTCCAGCTCTTAGGCCTCAGCTCCTGAAAGCAGGTATCTGGTTTGTTTCGGTTCTATAATCGAAACTCGTATCAACTCCAGCTCTGAGATCCTGTCTCACTGAAAGCAGGTTTCTGGGGTTTTGTTTAGCTTCTATATTTGTTACAGTGTTTCTTAAACTGCAGGCTGAGAGGCCGGCAAGGCAGGCGGGGAACTTTGGAGTCCTCCGTCACTGAAGCAAGCAAGCCTCATGTTAGTTTCAAGCTGCCTGGCTGCCGGCCGCCATCTTGGCTGGCAGTTAATTTGCATATCTCACTGATTAGCCAATGGGAAGGGTAGCGGTCGTATGCCAATTACCATGTTTCTTTTATTAGATAGGATATATGTGTATATATATATATATATATATATATATATATATATATATATCCCTTTTTCTCTCTCTCTCTCTAAAAAAAAAAAGAAAATCAGTGAGTGAGAACTTAAAAATTATAACAATAATAATAACTAAATAAACAAATCTTTATGATGCACCAGGACATAACTGGCACCAAATCGCCTCACCTGAGAGAGGAGGAGCAGTGAGGCAGCTCTTGATTGTGGCCTCTCCTCTCACTTAAACTCGCTGACAGGTGTGAGCTCCGACCCGGAGGCCAGGCTCCGCCAGGTCGCAGCCTTCACGGGTGCCAAGCAGAACCTGCCACACACATGCCCGTGAGAAACGCCTGGGGAGGTGCAGAGGCAGCCGAGAAGGCTCCCTGGAGGGGCCCTTCCTTGGTCCTAGGGCTCAGACCCACCAGGTCCTGGGCCCGTTTTGCTGCTCACAGCTGCTTAGTGTCTATAAATGTCCTACAGGAGCGACTGAGCCTGGGCATCCGGCTGGCAGCCTGGAGGGGGCTGGTCTCGGGGACAGTGAAAGAGGGGCTCTAGACTCCAGGAAAGAAGGCCGAGTCCCTCCCCGCTGAGCCCTAGAGGAGCAAGTCCGGTGACACCAATGGGAGTGCTGACCCTGCCCCGCCACCCCACACTCAATATGCCCCACTCATGAGATCATCACAGGAAAAATGAACAGAGACCTGGAGCATTTTCCTTTTCCTCTAATAATTTTCCCACCTGATAGCCTCACCCTTTGCCTGTGCCTTTCAATTTAAAGACCATCAGGCTGTGGTAATAAAAAAATAAGTTTTGCCTGGATGGTTTGGCTCAGTGGTTGAGCGTCGACCTATGAACCAGGAGGTCATGGCTTGATTCCTGGTCAGGGCACATGCCAGGTTGCGGACTCAATCCCCAATGGGGGGCGTGCAAGAGGCAGCCAATTGATGATTCTCACTCATCATTGATATTTCTCTCTGTCCCTCTCCCTTCATCTCTGAAATCAATAAAAAAATGTTTTTAATATTGTTTTTAAAGATTTTGAATAGGTTTTATGGTTTAATGATTTCTAATGTGAAAAGATTATAGAAGACACTGCTGCTTAAAATGAAATTAAATCAATTATATTTGGTTTATTTATTTATAAATTAGGTGAGATGTGTATATAGGTGATTAACCAAGGACTTTAAAAGCAAAACAAAAACAAACAAACAAAAAAAGAGTCAAAAGCCTTGTTCCATGGAGAAGACTGACTTGGGGAGTGTGGACCCTGGTGTACACCAGGGCGGGTCCGGCTCGATCCTGCTCAGGGACATGGGAGAGAAGCAGCAGTGACAGCACCCAAGGCTGGTCCTTGCTGCCTTCCCTCCCTGGCCCTTTACTCCTGGGCTGCAGCGTTTAAACTCAAACTCACTACCATCCGGACTGGGTCCCTGTAGCCACGGAGCTGTGCGGCTCCCCAGGCCCATCAGCCTGCCGCAGGGCTCTGTGCACAGTGCAGTCCGGCTCCCCACGTCACCACCGACTGTCGGCTCTCCCACCCTCAGTCCACAGACACTGACACATGAGAGTTAGGCGAAGAACCAAGAGCAGGCTTTATTACAACTTATGGAGAAGACCAGAGAGTTCTGGGCAGTAAATGGGGAGAGGGGCGCCCTCAACAGCAGGCAGTGGGGGGGAGGGGGGGAGGTGGTCCCACCTGCTCCAGGACCGCAAGGAGGCTAAGCGCCTCTGTCCTCCAGTCCTCAGGTTGCCACCATTGTGATGGGACACCAGCCTCAAGCAGCGGGCTCTGGGGGAACACAGGGCAGGGCCGGGATGGGGGGCTGCGGCCGGCGCCCAGTGTGCTCCTGGACCGCAGAGGGCGAGGCTCGAGTTGCCTTGTACAGCTCCAGCTCACACAGGCCAGGCGGGAGGAAGATGGGCAGGGCTACTTCTGGAGAAAGCTGTGTTTCAGGCCAGCATTTGCCCCCTGGACCTGGAGGAAAACGACTTGGTGGATGACTCAAAGGTTTTGTATTCAACCAACCCCTGGACAGGGGTGAGGGCCCTCACAGCAAGGCTCTGGGGGGTTGCTGGTGGAGAACAGGACGGACACCCCGCTAGAGGCAGCCTTGCTGGCAGTGGTGGGAGGGGCTCTGGGGCACCTCCAGGGACGGGACCGAGATGGTTGTCCCAGTGCTGCGGGTTCACTGGGGGGCTCTGGTGAGAGCGTGTGCGGTGTTCTCCCAGGCTGAGTGCTGCGGCGCACTCGTTTCCGCAGTTACGCTGAGCGCCCAAAAGCGCAGCTCAGATCTGGGGGAGCCTCTCTGTTCCCAGGGCCCACAGGTGCTGCCCAAACCCCCAACCCGAAGTGGGCGGAGCTTGTGCTGCCCAACGTGGGCGGTGCTGCGGGCCTGGAGTGTCAGCCCAGGTCACAGCCCTGGGCGTGCCAGAGGCAGGGGTTGCCAGAGGGGCTCCAGCTGCCTTGGCAGCACAAGCAGGAGGTGCTGGCAGGGTGCCCCAGGCGGAAACTGTGGGTAATGAACCCCAAGGGTCGCCTGCGTGGGTGCTGCTGCCAAGGCCAGGGCTGCGCCTGGAGCGGCCTGTCACCCCGAGGACATAATTGTCAAAAGTTCAGGCTCCAGGCTGCTGCCCATCAGGGGCCCAACAAAGGTCTGTGCGGTGGCTGCAGGGTTCTCAGCAGGTTTCCAGTTGAAGGGGGGCGCAGAGACCAGTGCGGGCAGCTGGGGGGCTGCAGAGGTGGGGTGCCGCCTCCGCAGGGGGTGGGGAGAAGCACTAGGAATCGTGTGGGGGCAGGGGTTTGGGAGGAGACACGGGGTGGGGGGATCCATTTTGGAGGCGCTGGGAGCAGCGGGGAAGGAGGAACCACATCTCCATCTCCGGCAGCTGAGGTTGATGCCTTGGGTTGCAGGGGGCCTCCCTCCTCGCCCTGCGGTGGGCCCCGCCCCCACCCCACCCCCACCCCCCCCACCCCCACCCCCCCACCCCCCGTGGGCTTCAACGTGGAGGGGGCGGGATGCAGGAGTAGGCCAGGCAACCGGGGCTTCTGGTGGCCCTGCCCCTGCCTGGTGCCGGGAGGGAGGGGGGGGGAGGCGGGGGGGGAGGGGGGGAGGGCCTTTGGGTGCCCCGCAGACAGGTCAGCCCTGCGCCTCTGGGGCACTGCAGCCCGCGAGGGCCTGGCTCACCCCGAAAGTGCTGTGGATGCGTTGGAACACAGCTTCCTTCTCTCCGTGCAGGTCTTGGCGGGGGGGGGGGGGGGGGGTCTGGGGGGGGTGCAGGGGGCCTGGGGGGTGGCCCTTGAACCAGCTCAGCAGGTGTGGCCGCCCCAGGTCCCCTCACCTGCGCCTATGCGCGCCTGGCAGCAGAGGAACCTTGCGTCTTAGGGCCTGGAGCTGTCAGAGGCCGCGAGCGTCCTGGGGTGTTGCCCCGCGGGTGCGGGGGCTCCTTTCCTCTGGGAGCCCGAGGGGCCTGCGGGCTCACTGTCTTTGAGGACCCCGGGCAGCCTGGCGTGGAAACGGGTGGAGCTGCTGGGGCTGGTAAGGGCGTTTCTTCGGGGGCAGGAGCTGTGGCTGCGTCTTCTGGGCTCTGTGCGCGGAGGGTTCTCCTTAGAGGCACGGGCCTGGGGAGGAGGAAGAGAGGTCTCCCTGCACCCCAGGGCCTGAGGCTGGCTGTGCTTCCGCAGAGCCCGCAGGCCCTCCTGATGGGCCCCTCGGACTGTGGGGCGTGGTCCTGCGTGGCCGCCTCTCCCCCAGGGCTCTGGGCAGCCTGCTGTCTGCGGCCTGAGACACAGCGGGGTGTCCTCAAGCCCTGGGGCGGCTACCCGCGCCCGTGCGCACAGTCAGTGACCCTGCCCTCCAGGCACTGAGCTGCAGGACATCTTCCCGGTGGGAGCAGGCGGCACTCCTTGCCGATGGCCACGCTGCAGGCTGAGGTGGGATCCCCAGCACGCTCGCAGGTGCGGGGCCTGCAGCGTCTTGCAGACGCTGTGACACAGCACGGAGGCCAGCGCAGAAGACACCTGCAGGGTGGCCTGCGAGGAGCTGGCAGCGCTGGGCGCGGTGCCGCTGGCGGACCCAGGGAAGATGGGGCGCGTGAGCGGCGCTAGCGCCCAGGACCTGGGCGGGGCGGGGCAGAGCCGGTCCGGAACCAGCATTGGGCATTTGGGTGAAGTCGGGCCTCAGGCAGAGCTCGGGCTTCGGGTGAGTCCCTCAGCTGCCAACGCCGGTGAGAGCCAGGGCTCGGTTTGGGCCTGTTGCTGGGATGCACCGGAACACGCAGTGCGGGGCGGGAGGACCACTGTGTGCAGAGGGGCGCCCAGAGGGCGCCTGAGGGGACCCCCGTGGACCCAGGCCAGCACGGTGCAGCCCCCCGGCCCTCAGGCGCGTCGTTGGCTTGAAGACCATGAGCATATGGACGGGCAGAGGCCAGCTTCCCCGCAGGCCCTGCCCCTCCGAAGGGACTGTGCCACGCAGGGGTGCCGTCAGTGTGGGGTGGGGCGCCAGGGAGCAGGGTCACCTGGCTGCTGCAGCGGCAGCTTTGGTGGCAGCACTGTGAGTCCTCTGCCCTTTCCCTGGGGACCCTGGAGGGGGACAGCCGCTAAGATCACAGTGCCACCCCACTCAGACGCCCCGGGGGACACCCCAGCGAAGCCTTCTAATGCTTCCGGGGCAGCATGCTTAACACATGACCCTACAACTCCACTTCCAGGCACTTAACCAATAGAAATAAGAGTTATGTCTCACAGAAACTTGCATGAGAACCTCTTAGCTATCTTACCCACAAATACTACCTAAAGGGCTCCTGAAGCTTCCAACGCATCTGGAGTCCGTCTGTAATTGTTTTCAGTTGTTCTGGGAAGAACACTGAGTAACTCAGCATTTCGCAGCCTGATTGGAGTTAATATTTACCAGCTGCGTGAAGTGTGAAACCTGCCAGCCAGGCAGACCCTCTGCCATCCCCTGCTGTGCTTGTCATGCGTGTTACCTTCACAGGCGGTCCCTGTATTACATGTGAGAGGAGAAAGGGGCCGTCACACTGATCCAGGTCCTCGCCACCTCTGCGGCTCACTTTGCTCCTGCGGCTCCCGCTTCCCTCCTGCGTCATAGAGTTGGCTTGAGTTCCCCTAAAAGCAGAGCAAGAGACAATGGCTCGCATGGGGGTGATTTGTTTGGGCCAACAATCCCAATGGACAGTGTGGGTGTTTGACAAGGAGGAAACACCACTCCCAGGAACATTATTAAATTGTCACTACTGTCTACAGCTGGAGTCGATCCCCTGGGGGCCTCTGAGGGCAGTGTAGGATGTGCCTCATTCGAGAGATGGAAGAGGGCAGTACACATCCACTGGTTCCTGTCTCTCCATTGGTCCAGGGTTGTGTCATGGTGTGTTAACTCCCTTGAACTTCCTTGCTTGACCATGTACATAATGGCTGAATGGGTGTTCACAGATATTTCTTGGGGCAGCATAGAATACCCTGGTGAAGAGAGAGTATCCAAGAGAATCCTATCTAATAAAAGGCTAACATGCAAATCAACCGAACGACAGAATGACCAGTTGCTATGACCTGCACTGACCATCAGGGGGCAGACACTCAATGCAGGAGCTGCCTCCTGGTGGTCAGTGTGCTCCCATACAGGGAGCACCATTCAGCCAGAGGCTGGGCTCACAGCTGGCAAGCACAGCCACAGTGGCAGGAGCCTCTCCCACCTCTGCCACAGCACTAAGGACCCCTCAGGGGATGTCTGCCAAGGGGTCCTGGACTGCTAGAGGGCTCAGGCCAGGCTGAGCCTCCCCCCCCCCCCGCCCCCAGTGCATAAATGTCATGCACTGGGCCTCTGACATTTTTCCCATTTCAGTATACACACCCTCTGCCCACTCAAGAGGTGGAGCCCGTTTCTCCATCACTGTGACTTTTTTGACCAAGGAGACATTAGCATACTCGGACATGCAAAGGCTTAAAAGGTTTGCCTATAATAGACACAGAGAGCGAACGGATGGTTGCCAGAGGGAGGGGAGTTGGGGAGTGGGTAAAAGGAGTGAAGGGATTAAGAAGTACAATTTGTTAGTTACAAAATAGGCACAAAGCTGGAAAATGCAGCATAGGGAATATAGTTAATAATATTGCACATACTGTGCATGATGCCAGGTGGGTATCAGGAATAGCTGGGGAACATTTGTCAAGTAGATGACTGTCTACCACTATGCCATACACCTGAAACCAATGCAAAATGCTATTGAAAGTAAACAATAAACTAATACAATTTTTTAAAAGTTTGTGTCTATTGGGTGTTGCTTTTTCTCTTGCTGGTTTTAGAACTTTGTAACCGTGAGAACAATTCAGACCAGCCTGACGGATAATGAGAAACACGTGATTGAGGCGTTCTTGCTCAGTGTGGAAGGGTTCATTCTAACCCTCATGGATGACGCTGCGCGTTTCAGGATTTCAGTGGAGGAAGCAACTGCAAAGTGGTGCACAAAGCAAGAGAACTAGAATTAGAAGTCTAGCCTCACGATGTGAAGGACTTGCTGCAATCTCATGGTATAATTTTAAAAAGAAAGAGTTTCTTCTTATGGATGAGAAAAGAAAGTGGTTTCTTAACATGGATACTACTCCTGGTGACAGTGCTATGAAGATAGTTGAAAAGACAATAAAGGATGTAGAATGTTATATAAAATTAATTGGTAAAGCAGTGGCAGGGTTTGAGAGGTTAGTTGATGAAGCAGCAGCAATTTAGATGGATAAGATGCTATCAAACAGCATCACATGCTATAGAGCAGTGGTTCTCAACCTTGGCTGCACATTAACAGTGATGGTGAACCTATGACACACGTGTCAGAGGTGACACGTGAACTCTTTTTTTGGTTGATTTTTCTTTGTTAAATGGCATTTAAATATATAAAATAAATATCAAAAATATAAGTCTTTGTTTTACTATGGTTGCAAATATCAAAAAATTTCTATATGTGACACAGCACCAAAGTTAGGGTTTTTCAAAATGCTGACACGCCGAGCTCAAAAGGTTCGCCATCACTGCCTTAGAATCACCTGGGAATCTTTTTAAAATCCTAATTTCTGGGCCTCATCCTCCGGAAATTCTGTTTCTTTGTTATGGAGTGAGGCCACAACATTAGTAACAAAGAAACAGAATTTCCAGAGGATGAGGCCCAGAAATCAGGATTTTAAAAAGATTTCCATGTGATTCTAATGTGCAGCTAAGGTTGAGAACCACTGCTATAGAGAAAGCACTCTTGAAATGAAGGTCAATTGCTGCAGTGAACTTGTCGTCTAATTTTAAGAAATTGTCATGCCCTAACCAGTGGTCGGCAAACTGCGGCTCGCGAGCCACATGCGGCTCTTTGGCCCCTTGAGTGTGGCTCTTCCAAAAAATACCACATGTGGGCGCGCATGTACAGTGCGATTGAAACTTCGTGGTCCATGTGTGCAGAAGTCGGTATTTTGTGGAAGAGCCACACTCAAGGGGCCAAAGAGCCGCATGTGGCTCGTGAGCCGCAGTTTGCCGACCACTGCCCTAACCGGTTTGGCTCAGTGGATAGAGCGTCGGCCTGCGGACTGAAAGGTCCCAGGTTCGATTCCAGTTAAAGGCATGTACTTTGGTTGTGGGCACATCCCCAGTAGATGTGCAGGAGGCAGCTGATTGATGTTTCTCTCTCATCAGTGTTTCTAACTCTCTATCCCTCTCCCTTCCTCTCTATAAAAAATCAATAAAATATAAAAAAAAAAAATTGTCATAGCTGCCCCAGCCTGCAGCAACCACTAGCCTGGCCAGCCAGCAGCCATCGACATGAGGCAAGACCTTCTACCAGCAAAAAGATTACCACTCACTGATGCTTGGAGCATAGTTAGCATTCTTAGCGATGCAGTATTTTTAAATTAAGGTATTCACATGTTATTTGTAAACATAGTGCTGTCGCACACTTCATGGATTCGAGTGCAAGTGTAACTTTTATGTGCACTGGGAAACCCAAAGATTCGCCTGGCCGGCTTTGTGAGCTAGCTTGCTGTGGCATCCGGAACCGAATCCACAGTATCTTCTAGGTACACCTCTTCTATATTACAGTCATAGCACACTGCCCTCTTAGAGACTTAGAGTTTTCTTAGTCTGATTGTGTATTTAGCTTTACCAGTGTGTGTATACTTCCATATGTTGTTATGTCACTGATTAGTGTGTCTTCTCTTCAGGTTGAAAACACACTGATTAGTGTGTCTTCACTTCAGCATTCTCGTCAGGCAGGTCTAGTAGTAATGAACTCCCTCGCCTTTTGTCTGCCCAGGAAAATATTAATTTCTCCTTCATATCTGAAGGACAGCTTTCTGGATATAGTATTTTTGGCTGGCAAATTCTTTCTTTCAGCACTTTGCACATGTCATTCCTCTCTCTCTTGGTCTATAGGTTTTCCGCTGAGAAACCTACTAATAGCCTAATGGGGATTCCTTCTCAAGTCACAATCCTTTTTCCCCTGTCTGCTTCTAGAATTTCAAACTTATCTTGATTTTGGACAACTTCATTATAATGTGTCTTGGAAAAGGTCTTTTGAAATTGAGATAATAGGGTGAACCTTGTATATAAAATCAAGTTAGAGTGTTATAACTTTTGGGCATTAAAGGTAATCCTATGGTAACCACAAAAAATACCTATAAAATATATACAAGAAATGAAAATGGAATTTAAATATTTTATTACAAAAATTTAGCTCAATGTGAAAGAAGACAAGAATGTAAGAAATGAGAAACATAAAAGCTATAAGGCATATAGAAAGTGAACTGTACAATGATAGAATTAAGTCCCTCTTATTAGTAATTACTTTAAATGTAAATGTGTTAAATTATTCAGTCAAAAGAGCAATTAGAAGAATAAATTAAAAAACATACAATCCAACTATATGCTGTCTACAAGAGACTCACTTGAAATCCAGACACACAAATTTTAAAAATTAGAAAAAATACTCCATATAAATAGTAACCAAATGAAAACAGGAATGGCTATACTAATATCAGACAAATAGACTTTAAATAAAAAATAAATCAGACTTAAATGTAAGAGCTAAATTATACAAATCTATGAAGGAAAAGGGGGATAAACCTTCATGATCTTGGACTTTCCTATGAATTTTTAAATATACCAAAAGCACAAGCAAGAGGAGACATAAATACAACTTTATTAAAATTAAAATATTGTGTGCTTCAAAGAACACAACCAAGAATGGTATAATACAACCTATAGAGTGGAAGAAAATATTTACAAATCATATATCTGCTCCGTTCTATTGCCCACTATTTATAATGAACACTGGTAACTCAACAATAAAATGTCAAATGACCAAACTTTAAAATACAAAAGGATTTGTATATTGTTCAAAGAAAAGACATAAATTGTCAATAAATGCATGAAGACATGTTCAAAATTATTAGCCATTAGAAAAATGCAAATTAAACTGCAGTTAGAGACCACTTCACACCCACTGGAATGAATATAGATAGATATAGATATAGATATAGATATATAGATATAGATATAGATATAGATATAGAGATTTTAAAGCAAACAAGTATCGACAATGATGTGGAGAAATTGGAACCTTCATATATATCTGGTGTAAATAGTTTGGCAGCACTTTCAAAAGTTAAACAAAGTTATTATATGGCCAAGAAATTCCACTCCTAGGTATATCAAGGGAGACTAAAGGAGCAATATATCAATCAAATTAAGAGCTGGTTCTTTGAAAATATTTTTAAAAAATTTTGATAAACCTTTAACCAGACTCATCAAGAAAAAAAGAGAAAGGACCCAAGTAAATAAAATCAGAAATGAAAAAAGGAGCAGTAACAACTAACACCACAGAAACACAAAGGTTTATAAAAAAATACTACAAAAAATTACATGTCAACAAACTGGACAATTCAAAAGAAATGGTAAATTCCTAAAAGCATAGAATTTTCTAAGACTGAGTCAAAAAGAAACAGAAAATCTGAACAGACCTAAATCTAGCAATGAAATCAAATCAGTAATCAATGAACCCCAACAAACAAAAGTCCTGGAGGGGATGACTTTACAGGTAAATTTATTAAACATTC